TTTGGTGTACATAATGTTTATAAGCCAATAAATAAAATATATGTGAAATGCAGTGGTGGACACGGTTCCGCTAATTAGTGAAGCTAACTTTCTCGTTAGCGGATTAGCGTTTTTGCTAACTTTGGAAACCATTAGTGGACCAATTAGTTTCCACTAAATTAAGTTCTGCTAACTTTAAGTCAGCTAACAAAATTTATACATGTTTGTTTCTATCTGTTGTAAGAGTGTGACGCCGTAACACGTGACTCCAACAGCCAGTCAGGCACGCTTGGCTGACTGCATGTTAGTACGTGTAAACGTGACAAGACATGATTTGTCGACGCCGCGCTGCAGCAGCTGAGAAGCATTGTGTAAAACCTTGATAAGTTGATCATCATCTGATCTTGCCATGATGCTATTTGCTACCTAGGCTATGTTATACAGTACTGTAGTTTTTGGATTCGTTTAATACTTTCTGTCTTTTCGTACAGTAAATAAAGATTATAAAGTGTATGTTGAAACTTGAATGTAAACTAATGTTTAATTTCATTTGTTCATTTAATTATTTGTGTACACCTTGATCATCATCTGATCTTGGCATGCTATACCTCTTTGGAAAGCTCTATGTCTAAGCTACAAGACAACATATGAAAATTTCAGCTCTCTAGGTCTGTTTTTAAGGGTTTTAGAGCCAAAAAACAAACACACCGAAACTAAATTCATATAATAAAAGTTAGCGGTTTGCTTCCGCTAATTTTTTTTGCTGTTTAGTGGTTTAGCGTTAGCGAAGTTAACTTTTTAATTAGCAGATTAGCGGTTAGCGAAGCTATTTTTTCGTTTAGCTGTGCCCACCACTGGTGAAATGCATACAGTATATCATTGTTCTATAGCCATTTTCCACGCTATAGCCATGGTTATCTGATGGTAGGTCTCCATGCTGCACGGTCTCTTACACTCCCTTGCCAGGTTCCTAACTAATTTCATTTCTTACAACCTCTCCCCATACAATTCTTGACCTACCCCTGGCTTGCCTTTCATCCACATTTAGGCTCATGCACCACTTGGTCTCATTCATTCTCTCCACTTGCCTACACTATCTCAGCCTGCCTTTATGCAGGACCTTGCCAATACTCAATATCCAGCCTCCCTCCCTCTTAGCTCTAACCAGGGCCTCCTGTCTTTCAGTGTCGCATTACACATCCACCTTACCATTCTCATATAATTTTGCTCAAATAGACCTATGGTACCCTCTTGAACTGTCCATGTTGAACAGCCATACAACATCACACTACGCTGCCCTTTATTCGGTCACTTAATACTAGGTTTTACTTAACTTACTTCTTAACTTAAGGTCGCTGCCACCCAACTGCAGGACAGTATGTGTAGTATTCTTTTGGTAGCTGGCAAAGCAGTCTAGCACTGTGAGTTTGTGCTTTTCGTTAATCAAAGTTGAGGGTGGAAGGAAGGGTGAAACACCAGCCAGTATCCTTAACTAATTTGTTTTTGACATATAAAATTATTGTATTCAGTCACAATACAAAAATAGATGACCCTCCCCAAGCAATTAAGGACACTGTACCGCACAAAAATAACCGACCTTCTCCATATAATTAAGGTTTCTTCCTCTCCATACAAAAACTGACTTCCTCAGCTAGGTCAATCCTTCATAATATCACCAAATACTCAATAGCACTTGAAATAAGAAACATTCAACAATACATTCTTAGCACCAAGGTACACACAGCAGGAAACCTTCTCACCCTCTACTCTCTTGTTAGGTAGATGAGATCCTTCAGAGACATTCATACCAGGATTAGATGTGCATCCGGCATCATTAGGTCGCCAAAGATAGTGACAGTGACCACCTCAAAATAGCACCAAAACATCTTCACTTCCAGGATGCTGAAAGCATGAGATATCCAGAGATCCTTACGGGAGGTTGCATAGTGGTCCCAGGCATTACTCAAAACACCAGGTGGGCTCCTGAAAGTAAAATACTGTAGTGGTTGCTGGGCCAGACATTCCCTTCGACCTCACTTGTCTCTCTCCATGGTCGTTACCGCTCACCCTCACCCACACGCAGATTCATACACATGTCGGAGTTACTAAGTGTAAACAAATGCGTTTACTGGCCTGATTGGCCTTTGTATTAATACACAATATTACAAAACTTATTGACTGACTTATTATATTAATCCATGGAGGTATAATAGGGTGGAGGCGGCATCTGCTTGGAAAAGTGAAGCCAACGTGAGCGCGCAGAGGCCATCTTGGGGTTGGCAAGAAATGCCTGCCACACGCATATATCACACACCACCTCAAAATATGTAGGTGGCAGTTTCCTTTCTTTCCTTTGTTTTCTGTGTTTATATTGTGTATAATGCCAGTATCCTGCGCTGCTGATGGATGTACAGCAAGGTCCAACAAAACACTGGATCCTTCACTTACATTTCACCAGTAAGAAATATCTGTAATAATGTAAAATTTATTTCTGGTGCACATCCACTGACCCCTTGCCCCTGGTGCACACCCACTGACTCCTTGCCCCTGGTGCACACCTACTGACCCTTTGCCCCTGGTGCATACCCTCTAACGCCCGGACTCGAAAATTCGTAATTTGACAACATTTTGGTACGACTTCGGCGGTTGTATGTCCGGGTGGTCGTAAGTTGAGTAGGTCGTAAGTCGAGGATTGGCTGTACATAAAAATTTCACTAAATGTCTCAAATAACTGTTGGTGGAAACAATCAAACTACCTAGTTTATAATACCAAATTATGCATACAATACTGTATGGCTTCTGTGAAGAGAAAATCACGTCATATAGTGAAAATTTAATATCTAGGTTAATATTCCTTAAATGTATTTAGTAATGGTATCAGATGATCCACAAAGATTTTATAAAGGAAAATATTGATGAAGCATTTAGTAAAGATGTGGAGAGTAATTATAGATTATTAATGATAATTAAATTGTTCCCAAGATAGCCGTGTGGGTTACGCCGTGCACCAGTGAGCCGTTATTATGATTAAAACACAATTTCACTTTATCTCGGGTTCAATCACAATTGAAGGACGTCTTATACAGTAAATGGTATAGAATAATTTTGAATTAATGCTAACCTCAAAGTGGGTGAGAAAATAATGTTAGAATGAGAGTGTAATGTTGTGATGAGTCACTGTGTCTGTGGTTAAGTTGTTCTTTATTACATTTTAAATATTAATCATTTTCATGATTCGTGTTTGATTTGAATTATTTCATGTTAAATTATTAATGCTAATTTTACAATATTTTTTAAGGTTGTGAGTCTTATAATAACACTTTTCTTTGGTGGATTTGTTGCTGTAGTTCGCTGTCATACTTTTAAATTATCGAGGTTATTTGAACTAAATTTGGATATATGAACAAAAATCTTAGTTCAACAATATAAAGTTAATCTTTTTATTTAATTGTATTAAAATAATGTTATGGATTATAGTCGGATCCTTACATGTACTTGTCTCTCATCCTGGATATAACCTTTCTATAAAATATTAAAATATTTTGTAAACTTATTGTGCAGTTGAAAATGTATTATTATTAATATTATTATTATTATTATTATTATATTATTATTATTATGGTAACGTGTACCTTCCCCCTCAGCCCTGACCCTGACTATGGTAACGTGTACCTTCCTCTCAGCCCTGACCCTGACTATGGTAACGTGTACCTTCCTCTCAGCCCTGACCCTGACTATGGTAACGTGTACCTTCCCCTCGGCCCTGACCCTGACTATGGTAACGTGTACCTTCCCTTCGGCCCTGACCCTGACTATGGTAACATGTACCTTCCCCTTGGCCCTGACCATGACTATGGTAACATGTACCTTCCTCGGCCCTCACCCTGACTATGGTAACATGTGCATTCCCCTTGGCCCTGACCCTGACTATGGTAATGTGTACTTTCCCTCGGCCCTGACCCTGACTATAGTAACATGTACCTTCCCCCACCTGATCCTGACTATGGTAACATGTACACCTCGCCCTGACCCTGACTATGGTAACATGTACCTTCCCGGCCCTGACTGACTATGGTAACATCCCTCCCTTGGCCCTGACCTGACTATGGTAACTTGGCCTGACCTGACTATGTGACCTTCCCCTCGCCCCTGACCTGACTGGTGGGTACCCTGACTATGGTGCCCTTCCTCTCGGCCCTGACCTGACTATGGTAACATGACCTTCCTCTCAGCCCTGACCCTGACTATGGTAGCGTGCCTTCCTCGGCCCTGACCTGACCCCTTCCCTGAGCCCTGACCCTGACTATGGTAGCGTGTACCTTCCTCAGCCCTGACCCTGACTATGGTAACGTGTACCTTCCCCTCGGCCCTGACTATGGTAACGTGTACCTTCCCCTCGGCCCTGACTATGGTAACGTGTACCTTCCCCTGAGCCCTGACCCTGACTATGGTAACGTGTACCTTCCCCTCGGCCCTGACCCTGACTATGGTAAGGTCCAATTCGTCTATCAAAGGACTGAAAGAGTTTTTACACTTATCTGTTGTTGTTTTCTTGGTGTCTTTTCTCACCACCATTTGGTCGTTCCTCTCAACCATCCATTCACCTCAGTCTTCATCAGACATGAGCTTCCTTCTCTCATGTCTTCCTCCTCACTTCCTTTGATCTCAAGTTTTCTTCTCTGACCTTCACCAACTCAGCCAGTAGCTCGGCCTTGTTTACAACTGGCCATTACTGAAAATTTTTCTCCCAGGAGCTAAGTCTGCCGTGATCTTTACTCCAGTGAGGTCAGGTCAGGTTAGGTTAGCATGAGGTTAGGTTAGCATTAGGTTAGGTTAGCATGAGGTTAGGTTAGCATTAGGTTAGGTTAGCATCAGGTTAGGTTAGCATCAGGTTAGGTTAGCCTTAGGTTAGGTTAGCATTAAGCTAGGTTAGCATTAGGTTAGCTTAGCATCAGGTTAGGTCAGCATCAGGTTAGGTACAATAAACTAGGGTGTCTAATCTTCACCTCCTCTGGCTGTAGGTGTGTCTGTGCTGCCGTAGAGAATCAAACAGCAAGAAATTTGACTGTGGGACCCAGACCTACCACTTCTCTCAACCAGTTAATGACAGTCCAGAGCCAACAGACAGTCAGGCACAGTCCAAAGAAACTGCACTAGCCAATCTAAACCTTAAGACAGTTATTCAGGTGAGATAAATGACTGTTATCTTCAGGTGAGCACTTGGGGGCAAGGCTGGCATTACTGTACGGCAAGGTTGATATTTAGTCAGAATGTACGGTACGGAATTATGGTACAATATTTTCCTTGAAGTACGATACGGTACGATTTAGGTACGGAAAAATGAGCAAAATTCCGTACCGTACCCCAGGCTTAAAAACATGCTCATGCACTTATTAACCCCTTGAGGATTGTGACGTATTTTGACAGTTTATTCTGGCTATCATTAAGACACTTTTATGCAGCTTAGGAAGGATTTGTGGGAATAAACAGTATAGACTAGCTGAATTAGCCATCTGTGTATTGTCTTTCATATACCCTTCCTAAATTGAATAAAATCATCTAATAATAGTCAGAAAAGAGAAAAGAAATGTGTCATCGATCTTCAAAGGGTTAATGTGGCTTGATCAGTACCGTCCGCCTGCTGGTAGTGTCGGTACTGATCACGTTGCGTCACGCCAACTGTTCACGTATAACTTGAGAGTATTGTCTCCAACTCTCCACAGTCACTCCTGCCATTGTTGGGATGGAGCAGTCATCCTTTGAGGCAGGCAGGGGCACTTTATCTAATATTATTGATATTTTTATTATTATTATAAAAATTATTCTTATTACAATTTAATATTTTTCTGGCTGTAGGCTGATACAATTTATCTTCAGTGTCCAGTCACAGCACATTTACATCTATAGTCACTTCGTAAATGTTCCTTTTAAAATCCACACATGTACTGTACTTTAATAATTTGTTCACAAATAAAGAATTATTTTAATGTAAATATATTTTGCTGATGGCACGATAAAAGTACAGAATTACGGTACGGTATTTTAGCCAGGTACGGAGTATGGAAAAATATTCCGTACCGTACCGTACTACCAGCCTTGCTTGGGGGGTAATCTTCAGGTGAGCACTTGGGGGTTAATCTTCAGGTGAGCACTTGGGGGTTAATCTTCAGGTGAGCACTTGGGGGTTAATCTTCAGGTGAACACTTGGGGGTTAATCTTCAGGTGAACACTTGGGGTTTAATCTTCAGGTGAACATTAAATAATAAACAAACCCATTAATATTTATCGACAATTCAATTTTTTATCGGACAGAAAAGTGGCAGTCAGTCATTGGTTTGTTGCGTACCTGTTAAATAGTTGACTGGAGTGATATTAACAGTGTATCTGCCTTCATTAACTGTTAAATAGTTGACTGGAGTGATATTAACAGTGTATCTGCCTTCATTAACTGTTAGATAGTTGACTGGAGTGATATTAACAGTGTATCTGCCTTCAATAACTGTTAAATAGTTGACTGGAGTGATATTAACAGTGTATCTGCCTCAGGGCCGGCGCTACCCACTAGGCGAACTAGGCGATCGCCTAGGGCGCCAACATCTGGGGGCGCCACAAATTCAGGGCAAACTTGGATAAAATTAAAAATGAAGGGAAAACTGTGGTGGACACTGTGGTGGAGCCGTGGAGGGTCGGGGCAGGATGTTAGAAGGGTGGGGGATCGGAGGGAGGCGAGGGTAGGTAGACGGTAGCCGACTGTGTTTTCTTTTTTAATATTATTCGTTAACCCCCCGGAGGGACTAACCCGGGTCCTTATCTTTGGCGGCCTGGAGAACTGTCGAGCAGTGACCTGAAGGCTGACATCTGAGGAACCCTTCTCCCAACCCCACCATCCCCTCCCCTCCCTTACTGCCTGGGCGGCTGAGCCGCCCCTTCCCTGTCTTTGTCGGGATGAGGCAAGGTTACCTGACCTCTGAAGTTTACGTCAAGAATTTATTGACTTTATGTAATAACAATAATTGGTTATTTGCATGGGTGAAGTAATAAAGCCACAAGATGAAAACAATGTAGTCATGGGTTACTGTACCTACATTAGCTTATCAAAACTTTCAAGGGGGCGCACATCTAAAGGCTTGCCTAGGGCGCCAAATCATCTTGCACCGGCCCTGATCTGCCTTCATTAACTGTTAAATAGTTGACTGGAGTGATATTAACAGTGTGTCTGCCTTCAATAACTGTTTATGACTGAATGAAGTAATATTAACCTAACCTTTCACAGATCAAGGAAGAGCAATGATACAGTACAGTAGAACGTCAATTTAAAGCAAATCGATCTAAAATAATCAATTTAAAGCAACACCCACAATTAAGGACACGATATCAATTTAGAGCGAATCTTTTACGTGAGTCAAATCTGGAGCATCATGAGTAAATAAACTATTTTATGTTTCCCGCCAAACACCTCTCTGGCCACCACCGTCCCACACCCTCAGTTCTACGGACATATTGTGTGACACTACTGTATCTCCTTCTACCATGTATATCAACCATCACCACTATGTCCAAGACGCCAGCTACTATGTCCAGAGGCCAGCTACTATATCCAAGAGGCCAGCTACTATGTCCAAGAGGCCAGCTACTATGTCCAAGAGGCCAGCTACTATATCCAAGAGGCCAGCTACTATGTCCAAGAGGCCAGCTACTATGTCCAAGAGGCCAGCGACTATATCCAAGAGGCCAGCTACTATGTCCAAGAGGCCAGCTACTATATCCAAGAGGCCAGCTACTATGTCCAAGAGGCCAACCACTACATCATTAACTACCCCAAAGGCCAAGAAATTAAGGCAAGCAATTACACTAGAGCAGAAAAACAAGGTAATGGAAACACTGCAGTGTGGAAATGTATGAACTTATTGCAAGTATGGTTATGGGTTAGGTGAGTGGATGCACAGCATGTACAGGCCTACATTGAGGCAGAAGGGGCAAATTGGAACATTTTTGGTTGTAAAGAAGAGAGTCACACTGTAGAGATCTGCGAATAAATTATTACAAAACCTACGGGGTTTCTATTTCAAATTCACTTTCATTAATACAACATCTTAAATGTATTGTAACATGGAAACTATGCAGAATCTGGACAATAATAAAACATTTAATGTGAAACCAAAACAGCTATCACAACTGATAAAATAAATATACAGTACAAATCTTAATAAAATGTGTTACGAGTGTCCGCCATAAGTTTTGTCTTTTCTTTTATCCTCTTCACCAAATGATCGACTCGTTAGCCGCTTGGGCGATTGGTCACGTCTCTGTTACGCACTGTTGGCAAGTACTGGGCTTGCACCGGCTCCTGAATGTACCTGAACCTGCTCCAGTCTTGGTAAAGTTTGGTCTTGAAAGAGCTCACACTCGGTGTCACAACACTTTCTGGTAGATTGTTCCAAGGGTTCACAACTCTACCCGAAAAGTTTGCCCGCACAGTTTTCTGGACTTGCGGCTTCTTCAATCTTGAGCTGTGACCCCTGTGGGGCGAGCGTCCGCCAGCTCCAAATAAGGACACTGACTGAGTAGTCCCCTTGAGATGGTTATACACCTCAATTAGGTCTCCCTTGCCCATCTGTAGTAAGCAAGTTCAGGCGCCCAATATCTCAGGGTAGCTGAGGTGCTGAAGTGCAGGCACCGGTCTGGTGGCCAGAGTTGCCAACTTAGCGACTTTGTAGCTAGATCTAGAGCTTTTGTTTTTTCTAGCGACATTTTAGAGCGATTTGCGACTTGTCGCAAATCTAGAGATATCCACAGAAATCTAGCGACTTTCTGGATACTTTTGGACTGTCCATGAAAACTAGGTTTTCCTAATTTCGAGCCATAATATATAGCAACGGGGTTACAGGACAATGCATTTGAACGGGTTGAACTCATAAACAACTTCGTCAACGCTACCTGACAACATTCGTGTGCTGCAGTCTATTTCTTTCTGAGCCGATGAATGCTTGAAGCCTATTAAATCAGATATACTTGGTTTGGACACTTATTTACAGAAGATTCCAGCACCTTTACTAAGATTGATTTCAGTGGAAAAAATCGCATCACACAATCTGGACAGAAACATCTAACACCCTAAAATTGTGGTCAGAAGTGGCAAATTACAGAGATGCGACAGGTGAAAACCCTTACCATGATCTGGCTGAAATTGCACTCGCTGCCTTATCTCTTCCGCATTCAAAAGCAGATGTAGAGCGCACATTTAGTAATATGAACTTTGTGAAATCAAAATTGCAACAAAATGAAACTATCGACATTAAAGACAATTCTACAATAAAGTATGGGTTAAAAAGACAGAACACCTGTTGTGCAAGTAGAACTTCCTAGTGATATTTTAAGAAAGATAGGGACTGTGGAGGCATACAGTTACAAGAGAACCTGACCAGCACTCATTCAGCCTCTACAGTTGTTCACACTGCCGACGACTACGAAGAGGACTGGATGCAATTACTATTGAATAAAGGGTGCACATTAAACTTTAAAAATAATATTTTTTTATATTATGCATTTTATTTATACTCCGTCCATTATAGTCGGCATTATGAAAATATAATTTGCATCAAATTCCTGAAGGGGGGAATAGCTAGCGACTTTCCATGGAAGACGAAGACATTTAGCTACTTTTAGGTACCAGCCTAGCGACATTTGAAAATGAGTTGGCAACCCTGCTGGTGGCCCTCCTTTGAAATTTTCAACCAACTGACAGTCCTAACATATCTCGGGGACCAGACAGTGTGACAGTACTCC